ATTTGTTGCAATGGAGAAGACTGCACACCATTGGAAGGGCATGAGAAAGGACTTAGGGATGTGGGCCTGAGCTAAGTGATTTTGGAGAAGGTTCGAGGAAGTAGAGCATTGCTTTGGATTGATGCTGTCAGGATGAAGGATTTAGAAGAGACCCGGTCAGAATCCTTCTTATCCAATGGGTAGGAGGAACACATAAGGCAATGTTACGATGGGTGAGCAGCAGCAGTCATTCCTTAACCAGGTGGGAGTGTGGTCACTGGCGGTTTGGACAGTGTTCTTGTTTTTGCCTGAGTTCAGATATGGGTCTAGAATGTTTTCATCTTGACCTGTCATGGTTAGGGTGGTCCTATCTGACACTGTTGCTTTGTAAAAGGCCTTACCAGCTGCCAGGCCAGCTCACTGGCTGCTTCTCTTTTTCAGAGTTGAGTGAGGGGTGTATTTTTACTAATCACCATGTGAGAACCACTGAAATAAACAGTACTTTGAATTTTGAACAGAACTTTGAGTTAAGAGATTTTTATTGCATCGACTCAAATCAAGTATTTTACCAGCAGTGTTTTAATCTTTAACAGAACAGAATTTGCTAAGTTCCATCTTATGACTCAGAATGTTTTCCCTAATGGTTTCCTTGTCTTAGCTCTTCTAGTCAATAAAGTTGTACCTCCCTAAGAGTCTCCCCACCCAGAGGACCTTGTAAGGCCTGTCAGTTGTAGTGACTGCCTTTTTACTAAGTTAAGTCCACTTTAGAAAAGAGTGACTATTTTTTTTGTGAACTTTATTAGATAGCTTTTATCCGACACTATACTTGACCTACATAGACTTCCAGGGCCACACAGTTAAGAATAGTTAAGAATTGATGGAGTGGTACAGTTTGAACTCAGATAGTCCCTTGTGTGTGAAAAGCTGTTGGAGGATAGATACTGGATAAATAAGTGCTCAGGCCAGATGGCAATATGTCCCAGTCTACTGCAAGTAGCTACCATGTTTTGATGGCATTATTTTTACCTGTTGAATGTACTCATGAACTTTTATCTAATTGTGTATCTGTCTTAACAATAAAGATAGCTCCATAAGCATAAGGATGCAAACTCATATTTGGATTCACCTGCAGACTATTAGTTTCCTAACCATTTGTACTGCAAGCAAGTTTGAATGGCTGGTTTCCTTTTTTGAAGGTTGGATTTTTCTTTGGTGTTTTCTAGGTGGAAAATTACCAAGGTTGGACAGCATAGTGAGTCTGCAGTTTAAGGACCACATCATCCTTACAGTAGGGCCAGATCAGGATCAATCTGTGAGTATCCAAGAGGGATTTCCTCTCTTCCCAGGGTCTTTCCACTATAGGCCTCAGTTTATTATTCAAAAGGAGTATTGGTCACTGCCCTTCTCCTTCAGGAATCCATTTGTGTTCAGTTTACCATCACTCTGGTCAGATAATGCCAAAATCTTACTGTTCCAAATTTTCCTGTGTGTTGGATACTTGAGGGCTTCCTCTCATCCCCTCAGAGTCTCCTCCTTCATTTCTAGTTATGTAAATATGTCTGCTCTTGGCTTCCCATCCTACTGCAGGCCATGTTTTTGAGAATCCCTGCTTCAGTCCCTCTCTGATCATTTGCATCAATTTCTGTGTGGTTTTGCTGATATTTCTTCTCAACTTCTAATCCCATAGATCAAAAATAATAGTCTATACTCTGTAACCCTGCTATCTATCTAGCCCATGATTCTCAAAACTAGCTGACTGTGGAATCAGCAAGAAAGCTTTTAAAAAATTAAATTCCTGGGGCTGGGATTGTGGCTCAGTGGCAGAGCACTTGCCTAGCATGTGTGAGGCACTGGGTTCAGTTCTCAGAAATTCATATAAATAAATAAGGTCCATTGACAACTAAAAAAAGAATTAAACTCCAAGTCTCCTGTGGTCTGGGTTAGAACCTCTGCATTTATGGTTTTTTAAAGCTCCCTATACTAAGGACCTTGAGGACTGTCCCATACCCTGTTTCTTCCTCATCAGCTCATTTGGAAGGTGCCCCATGAATGACTGAGGAGGAATTCACACGTCTTCTATGTTGTACCAGCCATCAGGGCCAGACCTGGAAGGGTTGACATATATAAAACCTCAAAAATACACTATTAAAAAAATTCTAGTTATTTTGACAACCAATTACTTTGAGACAGTGTGTAACAAAGAATGACAAAAGGTTCCAGAAAGAAGTAGGGGTCATTCGGGAGGCTATCACAATTCAAGTGTCATTCTTCTATAAATTACACAGCTGTTTTTTTTTAATTAGCTGCAAAGTGTACAGATATGATTAATATAAATCAAGTTCCTGAAGATAGCATCTTTTAAAATAATGACTTTTAAGTTCCCATTGATGAATTATAGAATGTGTATATGTCCATATAACTTTTTGCCCAAAGGATTCTTCTTAAAGATTAGATATAATTTCATTTGAGCAACATGACTTTAAGATTTTTCTTAGTGTTCACTTACTGGAAAACCCTCTTAGTACTGAAGCACTCAATATTTTGTTGATGACTTAACATTCTTTTCTTTAAAGGATGAAGCTCAAGAAAAGATGGTTTACATCTATCATTCTCTAAAGAATAGGAGAGAAATACACATGATGGGAAATGAGGAGGAAATAGAGGTTTGTTCTAATAGAAACAATGTCATTGCTGAGATTTGGGTGGTGGCTGGGAAGAATTAATTATTTTTTTATTTGTATGTAATATGCCTTTTATGGCTGTAGTATGGACTTACCACTTGATATCACTGTGATACAGACCAGTTTTAAAAAGATACTAGCTGGAACCTGTAGCTTTATAGGAAAAGTAAAATAAATGTAAATGTAAAGCATTTCAAATGACTAATAATACCACTACTTAAATTAGAATGATTTTCATCTGATTTAAATGGGCATCAGCAAGTCTTGTGACTTCTCTAAGTTTATAGTTGATGAAAAGAGCTTATCTGAAGTTTCTGAAGGGTATCAAAAACAATAATGTAAGGTTTATGTGAAAATGCCACTTCAGCAAACTAAGTTTTTTAAAATTAAACTTATCCTTTTTCAGTCTCATGGACTTCGTTTCCCTTTTTCACATGTGGATGCACTGAAGCAAATTTGGAATAGTTCAGCAATTTCTGTCAAGGACCTGAAGCTTACTACAGATGAGGAAAAGGAAAGCCTGGTATTATCCCTCTGGACAGAATGTTTGATCCAAGTAATCTAGTGATGTTATAGAATCAAATAACTGCTGTTTTACATGCTCATTTTTAAATTTTTTTAATGGGAAGTTGGGTAGGAGAAAATTGTCAACCGTCCTTACTTATTAATATATGGGAACATGGAAGGGGGGAAAAAAAACAAAACAGGAAATTACAAGGTGTCCCAGAATGTGACAAAACCATATTTTTGACAAATTTATTTAATCCAGTGTGGTAGAAAAGGCACAACTCCAAAAATGTATCATGTAGAACTAAAATGTCATTAACCTTTGTTCTTTGGAAATAACTTCTTTAATGCGCCTTCTTGGCTCTAGAACAATTTTTAAAATATTAACATGAAAATTTTTAAGTTTTTTTTTTTTACAATGAAAATATACATACCTTGGTGTATACACAAGCTTCCTTGTTAAAATAAAGTTATCCCTATAACATTAGTCTCATTTAATAATACAGCCACACCCATGGGAGGCACTCAACATCTATGGACTTGAGAAAGTTTTTAGATTCTGCTTAAAAGATGACAAAAGCCTGAGATTTCAGGGGGAAAAAATATTTACATGGAAACACCAAGTCTATAAAAAATACTCAAAATAGTGGGTCTTGAGTTTAAAATATTGTTATTTTTACATTCTAAAGTGCATATAGGTTGATATTTTTTAAAATATCATTAGAGAATTTAATCTTTCTATATAAAAATAGAGTATTTTTCTGCATTCTGGCAAAAGTTGGGAATGAAAGAAACAGTTGTCTCAAGGTACATTTAAATCCAACTCAGGAAGGAAAATGCTTGTGAATTGTGCTTTTAAAGGTGGTAATGATTATTGGAAACTAAGTAAAAATTATTTCCTGATTTTGCTTTAATATAAGCTATTTAAAATGGGAGTGAAAACTAGTAGAGAAATCAACTGCACCTTTACTTGAAAAGTAAATTTGGACAGAGTTTTATTTCAGGCAGACAAAAATTTGACTCTTATATAGGAGTGTCATACTTTTCATGAACATTTCTCCTTAAGGGCAAATCAAGCAAAATCTAGGGCAAGGTATCAGCACCAGGACAGGTGACCCAATGCTAAAATGTGAGGTTGGCACTCCAAGGTAACATGCATTTTCAGTTTGAAAGACTGAGCAAAGAATGGCCACAGAAAATATTCCAGTCCTGGTGCCTTTTGCCTAATAAAGCTGAGGTCCCTCCAAGGAGTCAGTTAAAAGTATTTAAATACTCATGGGATACTTCTATTATAAAAGCTTCAATATAGAAATTTGAAGACTTATTTACACACAGCAGTAGCTTAAGAGGAAGTCTTTTTAAATACATTTTCAGATGTTGCTAAAATTATTTTTTTACAAAAGTATCATGTTGCTAAAATTATTTTTTTTACAAAAGTATGATATAGTTTATTTTCCTGTGTTTTGCAGTCATACAGGTGTCTGGGATATTAATAGCTAATACAGGTGACAGCATCACCAACATCCTATAATGGGCCATCAGGAATAGCATTCATGGTTGGTAGATAGGAAAGAAAACACAGACTTCCGGAAACTTGCTCACCATAACTGGAATCCATCAGGAATAAAACCTTTCCCAGAAATCATACCATTTTCTTCATAGATACACTGAGTAACTGGCAAGAATATAGTGCAAGAGCAGCAGTCTTAGCTCCTGAAGGAAAAGTTGATTCTTTGCATCGATTCAGTAGAGAGGGCACAGTAGCTTCCTTTCTACATGCATACATCAGTGAGGGAGATGAGGTTCCTTTGCTCCTTCTAGGGATGGTGTTGATTCTCACAGTATTTCAATGTCCCATTTCTGTGTTTCTTTTCCCTCCAGGGGCTGATTTACAATGACATGAGTCTTGTCACAATAGTTTCCTCCTGAAATAGAAATTCCAAAAGAAAAGATTATTTGTTCACACAGGTGCTAAGCAATTTCACCATTTTCACAAGCTTTTGTTCAGCCTACTGCTTAAGTAGATGAATATGTCATTTACATAGTGGTCTGAAGTGAAAAATAGAGTTTGAACAGGCGTAGCCATTATTCACCTCAAATTGGACCTTATTATGACTCACATTGAAAAATTAAGAGGTATAATACGTGATTGTGGAAGCAGTGTGCCCTAACAATGCCATGATTGAGAACAAACTGCTTTGAGAGAACTCTGGCTAGATTTCAGGTACTGTGTTTTTGTTTCTACATCAGCAGAGGCTGTGTGACTAAAGCCAATTAAAGCAAAAGCCATGAGTAATATGGCCATGACCTTGCTGAAGTAAAAAATAAGGTTAACTGACATCTACCTAAATTTTAACTGAAGACTGAAGGACCTTGATGACTCAGGAGAAGAAGTTGGAGATGTTCCTTTTCAAGAAACAGATGACATTATGGTTTATGATGCTTCAGTTGAGAATTGTTCCCAGGGTTTACAAACATTACACTTGCAAATTAAAATTTTACAACTTTACTAATGAACAAAAACCTTTTTTAAGACTTTGTTGTTGGGCTTTTCCTGCTTGATGCATAGTGTATTGGTTTATAAAAATAACTTTTTTCAAGCATAAAAGCATAAAGGATCATTTCCCTCATATATCAGAATGTCCTTTACTCAGAAGAGGTTTAGAACTTAAGCTGATATCCAGGGATACAAACATTTGCATATTATCAAAGGCCCACCTTTAACATCAAGGACAAGTTGCTCACTGAGATAAGAACTGATGGTTCCATTTTTATTCAGTCTCCATTTTTGCCTGAACTGTCCATGTTCAGTCCATAGGGCTACCTTAGCTCCAGGTGTGTCCCGGCCACCAATCACATCAAGACATGTATCACTGGCCTAGAAGCATTAAGAAATAGAATGGCAGTACCACATTATATTTGCTAACATCAATTTAATAGGGCCCCTTTTCTTCCAGATGAAGAAGTCATAGACATCTAAGTTCCATGTCTTAAAAGAATAGCCTATAGTATAATTTGAGTAAACATCTTAAAAGGGAGGAGTTGGTACAGAAACTGAAACAGAGGGTCCTGTACTTATTTTTAAGAGGGCATGCACATTTGACAACAGTGTTCAGTAAAGTTTTATTGACTTGGAATTAAATGTTAAGTTACTGTTAGCTTAAAATGTATTATGTTGATCTTGTTTTTCTTCTAAAAATACTGGATGTGCTGAAGATAATCCAGACAATAATTGTTTTTAGATGCTTTTCATTTTTGAAGCATGAGATTTATATAAGTCATTAGTGATACAATGAAACATGGTTTTAATTTTTTTAACCTAATGTTCTGCGCTCCACAGTATCAATAATGAAGGGTCACAAAATAAATGAAACTAGTTTTCATTTTCTTAACATCTTCTAATAACAGCTGCTTCTACTACTACTTCATTCTAGATAAAAATTCTTAGTCGATTTTACTTATATGCTTTAGTACTACACATAAAGTGTTTTTATGATCACACAGTGAACTGTCTCTAGGAAGCTGCAGTTTCATTTATGCCAGTTAATTTAACTAGATTCTAGTTTCCAAAGCCAAACACCAAAAAGTAGGGTACTATATCAGTGGGGATGTTTACCTTGGATTTAAAAAGTCCTCGACAGTAATACCAGATCTGAGTATTCTTTCCACTGTAGGGAGAGATGCACACAGACATCGCCCTTGTGTCCGCTAAATTTCCAGTGACTGTCAGATATTCATCTTGGGCTCGGTTCTTTATTCTGATGTACACTGCAGGCTGTGATGGGAGAAAAAGCCATTTAAAAATAACTTTTCTAAGCTGGAAATTAATCCTTCCAAAGAAGGAAAGCTGTGAGGCAAAGTGAGAAGTGATTAGATATTTACATCACTTTCACTCTTATTTCCTTTAGCTAATATGTATAAATTTATGTTTTCTATTGCTCCTGAGACTATTCAGCACAAAGCTGAAATTGTACAATCTAATACTTCCTGGAAAAAAAGGGTAAAAGGTAATATTTTCATTCACTACAACTGTGTGTGGCAAGAGGTAGGGCAGTGAAGAATTCAGGACTTGGTGGACTTTGCTCAATAATGTATCTCAGCTGTGCTGAGAAAGGTAAGGGAGTAGGAATACAGGCAAGAAACAACCTACAAGACAAGAACAGTAATCAAACATTCTGTCTCCACCTGTGATTAAATGTCAAATGACTACAGTGAAAAGTCTTAAAAAGCCCAGGTAGGCAGAGAACTAGAAGCTCTGGTAATCTCTCTTTACCTAGGACTTTTATATGTCTTCAAAGGAAGACACCATGTATGTTTAATCACTACTTTGGTATTCAAAAATCGCATAACAAAGGAATTATCTCCTTGGCCTGGAACATACAAAGGAATTTTTTAAAATATACTAAATCTGGGAATACCACTAAGAATAATAGCTAATATTTATTGCACCTTCAGTATCTTGTCAAGCAATAATGTTAAATGCTTTCTGTGTCATTATGCTAAGATATACAGAATTCTTACTGTAAGAATTAAGGGTAAGAGTTATCTGTAAGGATTGAAATCAATACAACCCTTTCTGAAAGTATGGTTACTGACCTAAGTTTTAAAATAAAGTTAATATAGATGTGGACCCAGATGTATCTGCACGAAAAACCTTCCTGCTAACCAGCATGCTCCAAAGCCTATGCATAAATGCAGTTATTATTCTTAAGACAAAGGGAATAAGCCGAGTTTCAAGGGTGGCAGGGTAGGTAAGATGAAGGAACAGGGTGCTCGATGGAAGCTCAAGAAAAACCATGAAGCTCAAGAAAAACCATTCTTTCGGGGTCATGATTTAGGCCTCCAGCCTCAGTAAAAATATAGGATATCAACATTTCCTCCTGTGGTCAAGTGTTGGTATCTCAGTCAGAACCTTGGCTAAGTAATAATAAATGGTTTGGTAGTTAATGAGAGAGCACTTTCACTCTAAGAAATTTAAGTGCTAGGTAAGTGCAACATGGTATTAGGGTTAAGACCACAAGTGACTATTCTGCTTTTGAAACTTGTGATACATCAAAATGAAGGTAGTTGAATTTTGGTAAATTGCTATCATGTTTAGCATTCCTCAAGAAAGAAATATTCTGAGCATTTAAATTGGCAAACATAAGGATAAGTTATCTGGTCACTTAGATCAAGTGAATATGACCTCTGCTTAGCAAAACGTTTCAAATGTTTCAGACCACTACTTGCACATTCATGGCTGCAGCCAGAATGTAGTTAAATTTCTATAATTCAGCCTGGTCTCCCAATGCAGCTATTATTAATTCTAGAAGTTTAAGTATATCTTTATTACAGTTTCATTACCTTGTACATGTAAGAAAACAGGTATGACCTTCACAGATGATAGAATTCCAATTACTTTAGGACTAAGCATCACAGTTTTAATCAATTAAACCAAGCAAAGTACTAATTACCCTTATTAACACATGTGTAGTCTGACTCCTCTGTAATTATACTTAAAAACACTGATATGCATTATAAGTACCTTAGTGACTTCCTAATTCCCAACTTCAAAGAGGATCACATTTTAATTATTCCTGAGTTTCTAAATATGCACTAGAGCCACACCAATATCCTTGCCAAAAAGTTAAATATAGCCCCCAAATTACTATTTTAGAAAGCCAGAATTCTGTTGCTGGGTTTTAAAGCTATGGCCTAAATAAACAGGGAAAATAATCTATTAAAATTTTTTTAAATTAAATGTTTAATCAGAACTTGACCAGGTAGTGCCTAAAGCACAATGCAGGAGGAATATACTTATTGTCAAATAACTTTCATGTAAAATTAGAGGCTATTCTTTTTTTGGGGTGTGGTACTGGGGATTAAACCCATGGCCTTGTGCATGCAAGGCAAGCACTGGACCAATTGAGCTATATCCCCAGCCCTAGAGGCTATTATTCTAATTATTCTTTATCTCAGGACCTTGAGGAACCACCTTCCCCAGCATGGAACCACCATTCAAAAATGAGGACAATATTCTGTGTTAAACTTGCCTACTAACATTATTTAAAACAGGATTCACAAGATTATGCAGCTGGTAAAGTAAACAATTTCCACATGTATCTTGCATTTTCCTTTAGCTTTCCACTGGGATTACCCATCCATGGTTGTGAGAGGAATCAGCAAGGTGCAAAGGTCCTGGGGTCCTGTACCACAGTGCTATGCCAGGAAAGTCATTAGTGTTTCAGTAACCTCAGAAAGGCACCTCTGGCTTGCTCCAGGGCCATTGTGAATAATAAACTTAGAAATGAATGTTTTATCAGCAATATGAGCCAAGTGTTGTATCAGGTCCTTTGTGTTATTTAATCCTCACAACATTGAGGTATAATCAATGTGATCACTGTTGAACCAAGAGAACCCAAGGGCAGTGGAGGCAGGAATGGTGTGTATGAAGTTTATGGCAAGAGAAAATCAAGTAGGTTAAATTTTATACTTAACATTGTGTCAGATCCTCACCTGAGAGCCTCCACACTTTGGACAATATGGTGGCATTGCAAATGCTGATCTTATTGGAGGAAACTATAGTTGCTTAAGAACACTTATTTTAAAATATCACAGACTTGGTGTCAAATCTTGGTTCTGACGCTTGAATTACTAGTTTTTACTTCTCTGAGTATTACTTTGCCATGTGGAAAATGGGGGTGACTGAACTGTTATCAGAATCAATTGAACAAGTGTTTCTAAGTGATTAGAGAGTTGATGGCATATCTACTCACCATCGTACCCCTGACGGTTTCACTTGGGCTTTTCACCTTCCCTGAGACTAACCCCCATCAGGCCCTCACATATTGATACTTCTCTGATCAAAGTACTACCTGCAGCTTTTGATGATCATACACTGTCATAAATATTATTGCTTTGCGTTGGACACGTTTTACCCAACAAAAATGTAAATGTAAAATGCAAAAATGTAAACCATACCAAGGCAGAAACCATGTTATATATAACAGAAGACCTTCCATTATATATAACATGATTTCTAACATTCACTAATCCAGATATACAGCCCTTGAGCTCTGCATACAAGGTATTATATGTGGTGATAGGCACTAGAGATGGAGTAATAAGCAAAATATGAATAAATATGCAAAGCCACTGCCTTGACTGGGTTTCCAGTAGAGTGGTAAGAACCCAGTCCAGCTGCACCATGTGGTCATAAATGACACGCAGTGTCCTATGAAGACAGAACCAGGCCTTTTAGGATTCTCATTTAGATTAGGAGAGGGGTGGGGTAACATTGGTGAGGACCTGACACATTGAATTCAGAGGGGTGATTAAAAATTAGCCAGGCAAAAAATGAAGAACATTCTACACAAAGAGTATAGCTTTGTTACAGATTGAGTGGGACAGCATTCTGCATTCTGGTGCATGTGGCACAGCTATGTGAGGAGGAGATCCTCAGAGCTGAGGCTGGGGAAGCAGGAGGTAGTCAGATCACAAAGACCACACTGAAAAGCAAAGATTATATCCTAAGTGGGAAGCTTTTGAACAGGAGACTGACAAGCAGTAGGTGTGCAATTAATACTATTTTAATTAAATTGCCAGGATCCAACCCGAGTATTATGTAAGTGGGAAAAGAATCCAATACTAAGAAAGTAAAACTGGTATAGTAACAAAGTTCATTGTTGTGTCCACTGTTTGCTACAGAACTTACAGTATCTTCTTTTTCCATGAAATGTGAATATGGCCAATAAAATTTTATCTTTTTTGTCTTTTTTTTCCTTATGAAAGAAAATTTTACATGAATCAATGCTTAGATAAAATTCTTTTAAAAACAAATGAGTCAAAAAGAAACAGAAAATCTGAATAGTTCTGTGGCATTTAAATAAAATGAATTTATAATTTATGGACTTTAATCAAAGAAGATTTAAGGACCTGAATGTTTCACTGGAGAATTTTTATCAAATATTTAAAGAGGGAAATAATACCAATCCCACACAAAGTCTTTCAAAAAATTAAAGAAGAAGGAACATTTTTCAACTAGTTGTAAGATGCTAATATTATCCTAACACACAAACTAGGTAGAAAATAAAACCAAAACAATCTATAGGTTAATATTCCTCATAATGGTAGACACCACAATAAAATTTACTGTGGACCTTAGATAAAATTCTACAAGTTGGATAAAATATACAAAATCCTTGCCTACTAGTCCATTCTCTTTTCTACATAAATGAAAAACTAAGTACTTCAGATACTGTGTTTATGATATGTCCTGGCAGAAAATCAAGCTATTCTGGGTCTTAGGTTTCTCTGCACTTTACCTGCTTCATGGGACGAAGGGAACCTATGGTTTTCCATCTACTAAATGCTGTCCAATTTGGGATCTCAGTAGGATCAAGTAGAATTTGTCTTCCTAGGAAGTTGGGACCTTCATATGCTATCCATCTGCAAGAAAGAAGCAAAGAAAATGGGGCACTACACAACAAAAGGCTATCTGTTAGTAAAAAATCTGCTATGATTCATATGAGCTCATTCTTTATAACTTCTAGGTTTGTAGATTTTTTTTTAAAAATAGACTATCAAAAAAAGCAGGGAGGTCTAGGAGAAAGCTCACTGGGATGGAGGCTGCTCTGGTTTCCAATTAGAATGCTGGGCTCTTTACTTCCAAAATAAATATATGGCTACCTCCAGCTCTGAAATTCTGTATTCCTTTAATAACATCAATACATTTTTCATAGCATTAACATCCAAGACAGACAAGACCATAACCTCCCACTATAGAAAAAAACATGTTCCCACCTTTTGGTCATCCTCTCATGGTGGCTTCTCAGGTTGGCTGAAACCTATCCAGACATCTTTTTCCACAATTTCAAAGACCACCAAGGACTACTTACAATTATTCACAGATGTCTCTCTTCTCACTCTTGTTTCAAGGATGGCTCTTCTGCAAATCTTCCCCAGTATTTCCCTGCCTTCAAACCTGACTGCATTCAAGCATGCCAAAGTGCATGAGGCCTTCAGGTGAATGCCTGGTGTTCCAAGAGTTATTGAATGGAACCGAGCCATGCCCATTCCCTTTCAGTTGGCCATGGCAGGTTGAAAAGCTGTGTGAGAGATACAGCCCACAAACTTAAAAGACTATCTGACCCTTGACTTAGGTAGTTACCATGCTGGATGGTTAAGGAGAAAAGGCTGGGATGGCCAAGAGGATGTGAAATCCTCAGCAGGACTCAAGGTCACTGTAAACAGTGCTTTAAGACTGTGTGATGAGGAGGTGGCTGCCTTGCTTGGTTCATGTATGATACCTCGAGTTACAGTGGGGCTGTCCTGCCTCAACCAAGGGATGTGTAACCTAGATGATGAGGTGCATAGCCTCAGCAGCAGGAAAGGCAGCCAGCTGATTTCAGAGGCTCATTCTCAGGAACAGGTTCATCCAGTGTTCAGGGTTTTGATGAGTGTTCCCAAAGAAGGTTCACATGCTAATGTTTTGGTACACAGGGTGGTTCTGTTGGAACTTTCAGGGGGTGAAACCTAATGGGAGGTTCTCAGGTCATTGAGGATGTACCCACAAAGGGGACTGTGGGGCTCTAGGCCCCCTACTCTTCCTTCTTCTTCTGGGACCATGATAAAAGTGATTTTGTTCCACGTTGTGCACCATGATTTGCATATCTTATGTGCCTCACTGGAGGCCCAGAAGAATAGGGTTGCTAATCTTGGGCTGGAACCTCCAGAACTATAAACCAAACTAAATTTTTTTCATTACAGTGACAGAAAGCTGACTAATACTGGGTTGTCACTGTGGCATTGTCTTCAACCCTTCAATTTTCAGGTGAAAAAGTTTTCAACTTACAAAGGGCAGTATTCTTTAGGGACATGTGCCTGGGTTAGTTCACGAAGAGACTTCAATTTGTAACTAAAGTTGTGGGCAGAAGGGAGGAAGTGACGAAAGCTTAATCTATTAAAACTATGAAAGCTTGTATGGAGACTTAAACTGACCATTATTAGGAAAAGTCTACCCTTTTCCCCACAACTAGGGTCAGACTTAGTCAAATTACAGATAGGTGAACAAGATGCATCACCCTCCTTCAAACCCTTCTTACCTACACAAATCTAAATTGCCAGACTGGGGCAAAGGCAAGTTAATACGGCCAGAGAGAGGCTTAGCCTCTTCGCCTCACAGATTCTTTTTTTTTTTTTTAAATATTTATTTTTTGGTTGTAACTGGACATAATATCTTTATTTATTTATTTATTTATTGTTATATGGTGCTGAGGATCAAATCCAGGGCCTCCCACGTGCTAGGTGAGCGCTCTACCACTGAGCCACAATCCCAGCCCCTCACAGATTCTTTAAATGGGCAGAACAGTTTCAGTTATAGAATTTAAGCAAGATTTTAAGGAACTGTAACTAATTATATCTTGATATTAATGAATTCCACAGGTGGAAAGGCTGTTGGGATGATGCATTAAAATATGACCTTCATTACCATCCTAGATCAAAGATATGACATAACATGGGGTTTAAAAAAGTAGAAGTCACTGAGGGTAGGAGGCTGTGCATTAAATGGTATCCTGTAAGCCATTTGTAGCCTAGGTAAACCTTTAGCCAGCCCTCACTATTTAATTTATATATACTAATTTCTCTTCTAGAGAATTTGGAATAGTAGGTAGATAATAATTCAAACAGAACAAATAATAATAAGGTAAAACACCAGTTTTCCAGAAAAGAGTAAAAATATAAGGTGAGAAAATTTCAGTGGTGAATTAAATATCTATTTCATTTAGGAGTAGAAAAAAAGTAGAAAAATATTATGAAAGTCCTAAATTGTAGTAATGCAAAATTCAGTTCAAATGCACTTTGTTAATTGGTAAATGATATTGTGGAATCTTAAGCTTAGATACAATAAATCAATTTATTTTAATAGACATTAAACCTTGGGAAATGACCCAGAGAAGAAATTAAAACTGTTCTACATGTGACTAATATAAAAACTATTTATTGCAATAGTTGACTTAATTTTCAGTTGATACTCTGGTCTGTCTTCTTGACTAACCCCAGATATTTAAATAGTTGATTATCACACAATTTAAAAGCCATAAGAAATTAAAAATGGCCATTTTTATATTAGCCATCAAGAGTTGTATGTTTTTAGTTGATGTCTAGTATGAAAATATTAGCAGTGCTGATAGTAGGCAGGCTTAAATGCCACACTCTTTAGCAATGGCCTGAGAATCAAATTATCCTGGAAGCAAAGGGAGCTTTACCTTCAGAGCTGTTCATGTGCAGACCTCTCACAATTTTTGATTTTAAATATACAAGTTCATACCTAATTTTTGTATGAATAATTTTTAGTTTCATTTTCTAAAGGCAGCGTCCCAAATTGTAAAAGTGCAGGCCTTATCATCTTGGATCCACCCTAATAACCTAAGTGAATTAAAACACTGGCAGGCAGGCTAGGTCATTCCACATGTGTTATTGTCCGTCTTATAAGAGGTGTCCTCCCAAAGCTCCTGTTAATGCAGGAATATTCAGAGGTAAATGACCAGATTATGAGAGCTGTAACATAATCAGTACATCCTAGTTTGAACAGACTGCCTGGGTGGTAGCTGTAGCGGCTGGGGCATGGGTCATTGGGGGCATGCCCTGGAAGTTCTTACTTTGGCTCCTCCTTTGTCTCTCTGCTTCCAGAACCTCCCATGAGCTGAACAGTTTTCCTCTGCTGGGCCCTTCTCCCAGGAAGTGCTACCTCACCTTTGGTTCAGAGAATGGAGTCAACTGTATAGGCAGGCTGAGACCTCTGAAACTGAGCCCCAGGTAAATTTTCCTCCTCTAAATTGTTCTTTTTGAATATTTTGGTCACAGCAGCGGAAAAAGGTAACTAAAACAATATGCAAATGAGCAACCTGGAGGGAAGTACTCTAGAATAAACATGCTGTCAAGTCAAAATGCAATAAAACAATCTTAGTCTTACAAACAGTCATTTGCCATATGCAGGCAATGATATTCACAGTGAAAGTTGTTAGTTAAATGAAATTTCTCATGATAAGAAAGCAAGTTCAATCAGGAAAATCTGATTGACCTGCTCCATGACACATGCTCTGACAAAGTGGTGCCCTTTGTCTCCCAAGGGGCTCTTCCCCCAGACTACTGCATGCTGCTACTTATGGGACAACACAGTCTTCTCTTATTTAAACAGAAATTACTATTACTATATTAAGAAATAAAAGGAGTAAGAGTATCATCAGAGCAAAACAGCAACAGGGAAAAACCAACCATGCAACACTGTCCTAAAACAGTGATCAAATCAAACCAAGCTCTTTCTCATACTTACAGTCCACTTTTTACCCATACAGACTGGGTATAGAAGTGCAGGTCCTTGTTCAAAACAGAGTTCACAGCCTCTTCAAGGTGCAACTCTCTTCCCTCACAATGTTCCAGAGCAAAAAGGCTGATTGAGGGTTCTTCAAAAATCTAACAGCCCAAAAAAGAGAAAGCATTACCATATGGAATAGCCACACCTCAGTAACACCCTACTCTAAAGGCAAGGCACCTTGCATCCAACAGTCTCAAATGGATGAAATTTACTGCTCTACCCACTGAAGATATTACAGTGAAGGCCACACTGGAGAGATTTGCTTCTATTACTAATTTTTACTCACTATTTTAAAGTTGAAATTATCAGAAAAGTAATCTTCATAACTCAAAAAAAGGGACACAATAAAAAGTTACACTTGGTTCCAAATTGCATATTAAGGTTTTGTGGTAGTGTAACAGGTACCACATAACACTGTTGATGCCAGTGCTTTTAGTTGGCAATAGAATAAATATCAAATGGAACAGTACCTTCATTTCCCAAAATACTACAGAAGCAGTCACTGAGAATGGAGGACTTTATGGCCCTATCCTCTTACATTCTTAGGAGGGCAATAAAAGGCAATTTAATTTAAAAAATAGCTAGAAGGCACAGGAAGAAAGGAGATTTCTCCATTAAAATTAAGTATTCCCTCAATTCATCATGTCAGACAATAACAGAATCAATATTGTTCCTTTTCCTTCATTAGTATATGCAAGTCATCATGCTAAGAAACTTAGGGGATGAGAAATAAAAACAAGTCAACATCCTAGTATTTGGGGCATTACTACCTAACAGCTAAATTAAGAGAATTACAGATATCATTAATGCAATCTAGGGTCACCACACACACACACACACACACACACACACACACCCTGTAAGAGTAGTCATAAGAAATCTATATTATTTTTAGCAGAAGGGAGATGGAATCAAGGAAGCTTTAAGAATGTGGTGGTATGTGAGCTCAGTTTCAAAGGATACAACGGATCTGGAAGGCTGAGAGAGAACAGAGGGAAGTTCTGCACACTGTGCAAAGCAAGGGAGACAGTTGCATGGATACATCAGATGAGCTGCAAGCAGAACCATTTAGTTAAAATACAGAGTCTGATGAGAAATAGTGTGAAGTACTTAGATTGTCTTATTGTGTACTGAGTTGCCTGCTTCCCCCATATAGCAACAGAGCAGGTGCAGATTGTTGCCAGGGAAAGTCCTTGAAGGCTTTTGATATAAGGACTAGGATTGCCCTGAATTATCTTTAACTTAGTAAAGGAGAAGCAGTACACTAGCAGAGGGACTATGGTTGGGTCAAATAACATTAAATAAACCATCAAAAAGCATCTTGCACTCAAAAGTGACCTGAAGATACACTTGCAACTGGAGCAAAATGAATTATCAAAGCCTTACTCTTTGCAGCATTGTTTGGGATATCAAAGGATGAGGAATCATTTAAACGCCCACTAAGAGGAAACTAGTTGAATAAATTATGGTACATTCATAGAGGAATCCTGTGTAGCTGTAAAAAGGAATCAGGATCTCATTATGGAATGATAACCAAGGTAAATTCTTCAGAGACAAGTGAGGAATAGTGTAGAATAGCATATTTTATGTGCTAAAATTTTGTAGTAAAGAAAAACTTATATATGCATGTGCGCACAAACACACAGCCCCACACACATATATACTTGCATATACATTAAAATATTTGTAAAAAATAAATACAAAACCAGTATCCATGACCACCCTTTGGGAGGACAGCAACAGAGAAGACAAAGGGCACCAGTGGAATGAGTGGGAACAGTTTTTCACTGAATGCCTTTTGGTATACTTTTTGATTTCTGAATCATGGGAATATATTATTTACTTGGAGGTTTAAATTGTCAATTATTATGCATATGTTGCATTGTGTGTGTGTGTTTATAGGTTTTTCTTAAAATGGACCTTAGGAAACTTATCTGGCACCAACATAAATGAAGAATAAAGACAGAAATTCTGTTATAGCACCAGTAGACTGCTAGAAGATTAGAGACCAAAGAAAAAGAGACTGGACCTGAAATTCAGACCTGTATTGGGGGACAGAAGGAAGGTTAGGAAGAAGGGTATTAGAGGACAGAAGGAAAGTTAGGAACAGGGGATGACCAGGAAAACCCCTGAACAATAGAGTAGACTTGCAAAGAAATGCAAGGAATAAGTGAATAAAAAGAGGTAGAACGCTGTGGCTGGGAGCATGGTAGTATTTTGACCTTTATGAGGAAACCAGGAGCAAAAACTTGTCTAGCAACTAAGAACTTATGTTTAGAGCTGTGTGTCTTCATTGTAAGATAAGAGGCAGGCTAAGCTTAACAGAGACATTCAACAATACTCTGGACCTTTGGTACGGAGTTCAAAGGGAAAAGACCAGGCATTGAGTGAAGTTCAGAAACTCTCAGAAGCTGGATAACCACTGAAGCCTTGGGTGTAGGAAAAGGAGAGCCCAAAGAGAGCCCTCTACATTACATCAGTAAAGGGGAAAGAAAGTAATAGGGAAGAGTGGTCCCTCAACACACAACCTCCAGCAATGCTGAGGAGGGGGTGACCGCAATAAAGCTTGGGGGTTTGGCAAGTAGAGGCCAATGGAGAGCTTTATGAGAGCCACGTTGGTGGCGTATCTGTACTGAGGGGGAAACCTGGGCTGTCAGGACTGAGGAGTAAATGGTGAGAAATTGCAGACAGGGTATACAGGCAATTTTTAAAAGAAATTTGATGAAGAGAAGAGAAATAGGGCAGTGACCTCCAGACTTGCTCATGGGTACAGTGGAAAGTCACAATGAACAGAAAGAGACGGTTCCAGAGAAGGAATGAGAAGTCCAATTTACTGTTTCTTTAGAACTACTTGTTGGAATAGGTCAGTAAGGGAAAGGACCACACTGGAAGGGATGAAATAAAAGCCAAGACAGGAAAAGGAAAAGGATGCTGAGAAACTTCCATTTAAAAATAGGAGAACATCTTAGTAAATTTCTCTTTATGTGGCCAAGGCTACCCTCTGACCAGAGGTCTTAAGCACTGTCCACTACAACTTTCTGCATCCTCAGAAATGGTATCTGCACTTTCCACTATGGCTGTCACTGGTCACTCGTGAGCATGAGCACAAGTGACCAAGGGACTGAATTCAAGTCATTTAATTGAAACTTAAAAATTCATGTATGGCTAGTGCCATGGTTCTGGATAGTGTCCTACAGATTGGGTGACACTGGGAAATAATGTAACAATTACCTTGAAGTGAGACAGTAAGCCTGGGGTGAAAAAGCTGCCCAGGAGCACTTCTCTTTCTCACAGTAACCATTACTGACTGGGCAGGAACAGAAACACATTACTAGTCACTGAGATACTGAGTGATCACAGGCAAGATTAGGTACCTCGACTGCTACCTGTGAAATAAAAACTGGAAGCATCTCATCAGTTCATAGAATAAATTAGAAGTGACTGAAAATGAGGAGACAATCAGAATCCACAAGATAAGCCTTTGACTTAATGTTGGATTTCTTCCAACATCCTCACCCTCAGGCTTTTAGAAAAGCATTTCAGCTGACGGCTATAGACACATTTACCTGTGGTGATGTTTGTGGCCCCTGCCTGTCCAGATGCCTTGCCTTTCTTCCCTTCCTCCAAAAGTCTCTACAATTTTTTTTTTCCTAATTCACTTGACAAAAAAATCTGACCTGAAAAAATAGATGGCTGTTTAAATATTTAATCCAATCTGTGTACTATGCATTTAGTTATGGAGTTCGTGCCAGAACTCTGCTGAGGGTGTTTTCTTATATACTACATTACCATGTAATATTTAAAAAGTTCCAAATCTCAAAATACATTCAGACTAGGGATGGTAGAACTGTCTTCACTCATTTACTCTTTACAATTTACTTTTAATGTAGCCACTACTGCTATCCAACTTTACAGATGAAGCATCAAGACATGGGTCACACAGTTAGTGGTAGAGCTGGTGTTTCAGTCTAGACACTGTGGCCTTAGAGGCTGTTCTTAACTCCATGCTACTGTCTTGAAGTGTTCTAGGTACCAATAAGGTTATAATGCAGATTATTTCCAATTGGCAGGTGTGATGAGCACTTGACCTCATTGTGCTCAGCTGGTAAGTATCCAGGATCCATTTTATTTACCTTGCTCATTGGCTAAACAAATGTATCTGCCATCTCAATTTGAAGCTCTGAGACCCTGGTACAAGTCCTCTGCTAGAATAGACTACATTTATATCAACACATCTTCTATAACTGGATAAAAATTTTAAATATAAGTTACTCCTAAGACTTTAAACTAGGCTGGAATTGTGGCTCAGTGGTAGAACACTTGCCTAGCATGTGTGAGGCACCACATACCAATAAATAAATAAATAAAATTAAAAAATCATCAACAACTAATAAAAAATGCTAAAAAAGACTTTGAATATTGTTCAATTCCAAAGAATTACCAAACTGTGCTGCCAAAAAGTTATTTAAAATGATAATAATTTAATAGAAGGCTCAAAAATCTCTAAGACTCCAATCTTAAGTAGTCAAGGTCTGTTATATTAAAACAAAATCCTACAAATGCCTACAGGCTATCAAAAATCTTAAGCGTTGCACAAAAATATGAATTAATCATTGTCTGTGAGCTGTTACGATATTATTAAGCACTTATGTGCTAAAGGTTTCATAGGCACTGGCTCATTTAATCCCCACATTTTAGAAACTTGCCCAGGGTCACTCAGGTAATAATTATTAATGGTGGAGTCAGGTCTTGACCCAAAGTCTGTCAGACACCAAAGCAAACTCTTTACAAGGAACTATAATTCTTCTTATAAAACCTTTCATTTGGTTTAGAAAATCAGATTCAAAATAGAACTATCTTTCTTAACTGAATTTTATTCTTTTTAAGAAATATTGTAATACATTTTAAGAAGAATAAGTAGCACAGTATATGACAATGTGCTCTAGATCCTGAAGTATTACATTTTAACTTTACTTCATTTGTATCATTTATTTTTAACTGATGCATAATATGTGCCTATTAGAACATTTATTACTTGTGTTGGGAGCCATTGAACTCCTCTCTTCTAGTTTTTCATAAAACATATAATAAATTACTGTAAACCAGTCAAACATATATGGAATTTTGTATCAAAAAAGTTTTTGGTACCAGGGATTGAACCCAGAGGTACTTAACCACTTTATTTAGAGACTTAGCGCTTGTTGAGGCTGGCTTTGAACTTGAGATTCTCCCACCCCAGCCTCCCTAGCTGCTGGGGTTATAGGTGTGGGCCACTGTGCCTTGTTGTATCAAAATTTTAAATAAATAAAACATACCAAATATAGTAAAAAATAAGTCCCCTCTTTGCCCTTCCCTCCTCCTTTACCTTTCCCTAGAGGTACCCACTGTGCTGAAGTTGCTGTGGCTTCTTCCAGCTCATATTTTTATACTTCTATTAATGGTTATGCATCCTTTGTTTTTAAAATTTCCAGAAACATATGTTACTCTAACAACCTTTAGCAATCTTTTTTTTTCTAATTGTGTTTCAAATTTACCTGTTTGTGTAACTAGCTTTCCGTTCCCTACTAATCATATGCTTTACTGCTTTCTCTTGCATGAATGTGCTGTGGCTTGTTTCACCCATCAATGCTGCAAATGCTGCCCTCATTTCCCCCCATTATAACGGATGCTTCTTTCACTAGCTGAACAGGAATAATCCCACTTCTCTGCAACTAAATCAAATTTTGGTATTTTTAAATGTTTGTATGTAAAGTAAGGTAATGTTACCTTGTTACAGTTTTAATTTATAGTTCCATGATTGCTAGTGAGGTGTACCATCTTTTGTATGTCCTAAGCCATCTTCTTCTATGAACTATTTATATTCTGTCAAATTTCTGTAAATCTAAAACTGGACTTTTAAATTGAAAATCCACTGATTTTTTGAAAGATTGTTTGAATGAGCTCATTTTAAATTCTGTACAGTAAACTTTTGTAAGTTATCTGTACTACAAAGATATTCTCTCAGTTTGTGTGGCTTATTGTATATAGCAGGCTGAATAACCCCTCCCTACTCCCTCTTCAAAATCCTAATTCTACAAATACAGTGTGTTATCTAACACAGTAAATGGAACTTCAAAGAAAGATAAAGAATTAAGGATCTTAAGACAGGGACATCAGTCTGGATTATTCAGGTAAATACATATAGCCACAGGTATCCCTGTAACAGAGAGACAGGAGGGTCATAAGAGCGAATTTGGAGGGATGCACTTTGAAGATGGAGAAGGCATACAGTCAGGAAAAGCAGCTGGCCTCTGGAAGCTGGAAAAGGTAAACCAATGCATTAGCCCCTAAATATTCCTAGGAAGAACAATACCTTCAATTTACCTGCAAGCTTCTGACAACCATAACTATAAGGTATCATATTTCTGCTGTTTTAAGCTAGTAAATCTGTAGTAATTTTGTTACATCAGTGCTATGCTTTGAATGTCCCCACCAAAACTCATGTTGAAATTTGATTCTCAACCTCAGGCCCTCAAAGGCTTGAACCTCAATCCAACTATGGTATTTGGAGGTGGTTAAAGTGAAATAAAACCATAAGGGTGCAGCCCTAAACCAATAGGACTGTGGCTTTATAAGAGGAGGAGGAGAGACCTGAGCTAGGGAGCTCAGTTCCTCTCCCCATGCGATGCTGTGCACTGTCTTGGGTCTCTGCAGAGTCCCAACCAGAAAAGACAATTATCAGACGTGGCTGTATCTTGAGCTTTCCAACTTTCAGAAGAACCATAAGCCAAGTAAATTTTTATATATATAAATTACCATGTCTGGGGTGTTCAGTTATAGCAACAGAAAATAAATTGGGACGAGCAGCAACAAGAAACTACTATGCTTTTTCTTACTAACCAATGCTTTTTGTGTTTAAAAGAAATTGATCCTATTTCAAGATCATTAGAATAGTTTCCTATGTTTTCCTTTAAGTTGTAAGGTTTACTTCCCACTTTTAGGTTGTGTTTCAAGTTCAGTAATGTTCTAACTATCGTTTTCCATAACTATACTAACACCATTAGTATATATATTATGAACTGTTAAATAAATGGTGTTAGTATAGAGTCAACTATACTAACACCATTTATTTAACAGTTCATAATAGCTACATTGTAAGGCTCTCTGTGTCATCTTCCATGTTTTGGTATTATGTAAGGTAGTTTCTATGCTACTTATCCTATTCCACTGTTTCACAGGTCTTTCCTTGCACTAGTACCCAAAACCTTAATTATTACTGCTGCATAATAACTATGCATTTGCTAAGATAATTAATCCTACCTGTTATTCTAAAAATTATTGTCATGATTCTGGACCCATTCTTTTACAAATTAATTGTAGGATAATTAGCTATTAATTGTGTTGTGTGTTTTGTCATGTTTTATCCACCCCCACCACCAAAATAGACAAAAAGTTGTAAACACTTTGGAAGTGTATTGATTTGGGGGGAATCATACCTTTGAAATTATTGTCTTTTCATCTAAAACACAATCTTACTCCACCTTTTTATGTACTTTAGATACAGCTTTTATAATTTGCTTCAGAAAGGGCTTATTGTCTTATATTAGGTTTATTCCTATGTACCCTATAGTTTAATTGCTACTTTTCTTGTATCTATCTACTTTAAGTATACACATTAATCCCAATAACTTATTTGTAGATGCTCTTGACAGTCTTGTTTTTTCCACTATACTTTTCTTTTTGTTTTTTGTTTGTTTCAATCTTATAAATTGGCCAGGACTGCAGAGTACTGTGGAGCACAGGTGGTGATAGCAAAGACCTTTGTCTTCTGCCTGAATTTAAAGGAACTGCTTCAAATGTCTCACTAGCAGGGGGATGTTTACTGTGGATTTATGCTGGTGTTCATGTTCACAATGTATAAAATCATACTTTTGATGATATATGGGTTCAGTTTAATATCAACCAAATTCTTCTACTCTTTATAAACTCACAGCATCCTTTTGTTCTAGGGCTGGATTTTAAAGTCTTCCAATATTTGGGGCTGTGTCTCTTATTCAGTACTCTTGCAGAGAATGAATCACTCTTGTTAACTCTTATTACACCTCTTAAGATCATTTATGTCATCAGTCATAATTTCATATTCAGGTTTTCTACAGTCTCTTGTTATGTTTCTTTGACTCTGTCTGCTTATAGCTGCCAAGACAGGATTATTACTTCAAAGAAGGCCAAACTTCTATGCCAAACCACCATAGAGACATCAGAGAAGCAACGTGCAGACTATTGCTCCCATGGCAACACAATAAAAGCAAGTTACTGAACACACTATTGGGCCAATATTTATTATGCCTTACACTGTAGTTTGAAGCATTCACTTCCTTCTTGGATCAATCAAGAGTTGTTTAGGTTTCCTGCTCTCATTTATTATGTACCCATTATTCTTTTATTATCCAGTTTGTCTTTAAAGCATTTCATTAGTAGCTGGCAGCTGTAAATTATGGTTTTTGAAAAAACAAACAAACAAACAAAATACTTTTCCACCCTCCTCTGACTTCCAAATCTACCAGTATAACATTGTATGTAGATAAGATACAAATCCACTGCAAGTTCAAAGTACAACCCCTCTTATGGAAAGAACTGAAGTAGACCAACAAATTGTATACAAGTACTGCTTACATAATTTTAGGCAAGAATAAATTAGCTTACTTAGTGTATTTATTAATGGATTCTTGACATCTTTATGGGCCATGTGCTAAGGAGAGGTGACCAAAATGTGAAAGAACTTAAGCTACAAATAAATACAGAACTTGCCTTAAATGACTTTACAGGTTCCATAGTTGTGATAAAAGTAGAAAGTGAAAAGCATCTTGAGATTCAGTGAAAGAATATTCAGGGAAGATAAATATCACTTCAAGAAACTGTCTCAGGAGGCTGAGACAGGAGGATCAGAAGTTCAAAGCCAGCTTCAGCAAAAGCAAGTTGCTAAGCAACTCAGTGAGACCCTGTCTCTAAATAAAATAAAAAATAGGGCTAGGGATATGGCTCAGTGGTTGAGTGCCCCTGAGTTCAATCCCCAATTACCACCTCCCCCACCCCAAAAAATAAAAGAGAGAGAAAGAAATGTGGATCACTGAAAGGTTCTTAGAACTGGAGTCCTTTGAATTAGGTCTTAAATGATTAAAAGAGGAGAAAGAAAAAAAGGTGTTTTATGTTTCCACATAAGTGATACAAAATAAGAGATAGTTAAAGCAAGGCATTGGGAGGGGGCAGTGGTAGCTTTGTAAACAGGACACATGAAGGAGAATGAGAAATAATATTGGGAAAAGTAGGTTGGACTAGACTTTATTAGAAGGTTATAAGTTCAAAGCTGCAAACAGGAAGAACTGAAGAAGAAAGGGCCCAAAGGAATAAAATTAGTGAAGTGACAATAACAATAGTTTGGAAAAGACAGAATAAAGCTCTAAACTTAAGATAATGGAAAAAAAACATTACGTAGGTACACACACCCACACCCACACCCACACACACACCCCTCCATCTCTATTCAATGCTTAGCTACTAATTGTGTGTTAGAAATCATGAAAAAGGTAGAATCAAAGGTGAATACTAGTTTTATGAGCAGATGATGGAGTAATAGCAAATGTATTCAACAGAAATAGGGAATAAAAGATGAAAAAATCTAAAAGGGAAAATGGGATACTGCTGGAACTTACTGAGAAAGACCCACTTGGAATCTAGGAATGGGACTCAGGAAATAGGAGACTTCCTGCTTACTCTATAGATCTGGGAATCATGTGCATTGACAGAGGAACAGAGGTGAGAGCCAAAGTTATGATAATGGGAATTTCCAGGTACAAGAAAGAAAAGGCCAAGAACAGATCTTTGGAAATTTCTATACTTTGAGGGTCCAGGAGAAAGAAGACATTTGAATTTGATGATAGTGGGCTCACTGTGCTATGTAATTCTCCTTTAATTTTGTGTTAAGTAGTTAGCACAGATTTGGTACCCGGTAGTGGTTAATACTTGAATAAACAGATATGAAATGCATATTCAGTATTGTTCTCATTGTGCAGCCTTAATAATATCTTTGGTCAAGTAGAAAACCCTTAAACTTCCTTTTCCTCAGTTACTAATCAGTTCTCTTTTTCTTTCCTGCAATTTATACTCATACCCCAATTTTCACCTTTGGCCTTTTGTCATCTTGTTGCTCTTTTATACACAGTATGATTAATGCTAAATATAGAAGTCTTTGGTTTCAGACCCAACAAAACACTTAAGCTTCAGTATTCACTCCCTTTCATCTTAAAAGATCTTCTTGTAACCGGTGTTAAGCACAGATAGTTACCAAAACAAGGCTGGTTAAAAACCTTAAAGAGAAATAAACCAATAGAAACCCACTCCCCAGTGGTTTGAAATTCATACTTAGTTGTATAATCCAATGCATAATTTTCCAGAAATATAATGATGTCTTATAAAGATCCTGATGAAAATCTTGTTGATTTCATTATTAGGCCACTTAATTTGATTTCACTTTTCTCAAACAGCTCCATTGAATTTCTCAAAATAAAATTAACCAATAATTTTATAATTCCAAATGAATTCTAAGAAGGGATTATGAACCATGTTCTGGGGTAAGTTCCTCTGCTGGTTTACCATACACTTCATCTGACAGCCACCAAGCTATCCTCATGCTTTCGCTAAAAATTATTCTCAACAATCTTTTTCTTTTTCTTTTTAAAGGAAGTTAGTGCTTTTACAAAGGCAGAAGGAAGAATATGCAAAAATTATTAAAATTTCATTATCTCTGATAATCTCCAAAATCTGGTTATAGAGAACATGTTATGAGTTCAATACATCTAAGGTAGATCACATTATTCTTTGAATATATTTACTCTGTCAACTTCCCCCACTGCCCAAGGAGTAGGGAGGAAGAATCTGTTCTCCTGTCCCATTAATATTTGGGCATGATCTTATGATTTGCTTTTGAGAACATAATGTAAATAGGCAAATAATACTGTAACTGAGCAGAAGTTTCTGAATTTGAGAATCTCTCTTCCTCTAACTGACATAAAAATAGGTATGTCCCTAATCAGTGATGTTCCCATCACCTGGTCCCCAAAATACATAACAAATGTACCTAAAGACAACTGATATCCTTGAATGGAAGCCAAGCCAACTCTACAGCAAGTTGCTGAGACAAAGAATGAAAAATAAAAATGCTGCTACATACCACTGATATACTGGAGAGTAAAGGGAAAGCTAATATACAATATTATTTCTTTGGAACATGAGAAACCTAGGGTTAGATAGATTCTTTCTCATGTCCAATCAGAAATATGACTACAATACTTACTTGCAGCAGAAGTAGAGGTTTTAAAATACCTGTTATAGCTTTTTTTTTTTTTAACAGATACACAGAGACCCAGATAAATTGATTTTCCCAAGGTCACATTAGTAAGAAACAGAGCTATAAACAAGGCCTCCAGCTCTTTTCACTGTGAAATTTTCACAACACTGCAAATTATGCATCCAGGGACCTCTAGAACACTATCTGCAGCTATAGAAGTTAGCCTGGTACAAACTGTCATTTGTAAAACATACTGATCTTGTATGAAAATGAAGTCTTAAGATTCCTTAATATTATATATTATGACACTAAATGGTAAGTCATAGCATGTCTGGTAATGCTGACAGCAGGCCACATCCTTAGAATCTTCAGTTTTAACTATCTAAAGCAAAATCAATGAATAAACTTATACATACTCAACCAGACAGAAACATTTCTGAAAATGAATTCAAAATCACACTGGGTCATGGCATAGACATTGGTGTTAACAATGTTTATAAAAAGGTGTATGAATCCCTAAGTAAAAATACAGAGGGCAGAGGATGTAGAAGAGACCAGAGAAGCAGAAGAGGCAAAGAATGTCCTTTAATACCAAGGGAAAGGAGATACAGAAGCTGGAAAATGTAAGCAACTAAGACCTGGGAAGCATACATGTCTTTTGTAGGGAATGTAAGCTTATTTCAAGATATGGAATTAGAATTCACCCAAATCTTATGCTCAATAATCTTCTGGTGACTATTTCAGTTTCCCATGTTTTTCTATAGAGGCAGAGAAATCCATAGATCAGACTTCTCAAGCTTTCCAGTCATTAGAATCTACTTAATACAAATTATTAAATTAGCCTTCCGTTTTACACATCAGTCTCCCTGGCTCTGGTCAACTCTTCAGGGCCTTCCAGGTAAAGGATAGTTATTTTTCCAGGGTAATATAAACTGGTGAAGCCACTTTGAGGTCAATCTTCAGGTCTTTGCTGTGACGCCCAACCTTACTTTATACTCCTTCAACCCCAAACCCATTGCCCTAACTTACCTTCAACAAAAACCTTTCAAAGACTTAAAATATACCAGGAAAAAGCATTAGGAAATATGCTGCCCTTTCATAATTGAATGTCCTTCCCAACAGGCACCTTTACCTGCACTGCCTAGATTCCAGAGGACCAAATCCAGAGGTATGCAATTGTACACAACTTACATGTAAGCATTCCTCTCTGTAGTTTTCACTCCAGATTTAATTACTCATTTTACACTTCCTGAATATAAAATAATTTTAACTCTTCAAAGGAAAACAGTAGTGCTCATTAATTTTGATCCTGTTTCTAAATTGCCTTTCCTAGAAATTTAATTTAGTTCACTTAATTAAGAATCCTACAAAATCCTTTCAAGAAGGTACTTTATAGTTAAAGCTATATCTTTTGCTTTTAGAGTTAATAAAAAGTAAAGATCTGTCTATTAATCCAGCTACTGTAAGTTACTTTCCCAGAAAATCTGGACTATGCCTTTTTCAACTTTATTGAAATCAACAGACACTGACCAGATCACATTTTTTTTTTTTATGTGATTCTTCCTCTGATAGGAGTTATTCTTTCCAACGTGGTAGCTATTGGGCCAACGAGAAAGACTAAGGACTCTATTTTTATTCTTCTTCCACAGCTAAGTTGCTATACTTAGCCTGATACCAAAAATATTCTATCCAGGAATTCCTCATGAAATAGGATGAGATTGCTTTGGTTGAGATCAAAGAACCAGAGTATGGCCATTCTCCCTGGAATCAGCTCTGGCCAAAAGGTCTGAGTCATACCCACTATTATTTAGTGCTTACAGTCGGCTCTGTGTGAATTGCAAGTTTGGACCAGACATGCCCCAAGATCATCATCATATTTAGCTTGAAAATGCCCTGGATCTTCCCTGCTTCCTCTGGAAATACACCTTGAAACCAGGAATATTAGAGTAGTGGTTCTGTTTTTCTCACATTCTGAATAAATTTTTTGAAAAGGAGACTCTATTTGCTCTCTAAATGTGGGCCTCCAAGATAAATCAGATAATTCTGCATGCACTGGGCAGAAAAGCCCTGGCTCCCTCAAAGGCTCAATCAATAACAGTGATAACCCATGCATTAATGTAATTGGAAAGCTGAATAGCAAGTTGCATGTGACTTATCTAATAGAATAATAAGGTAGTTGGTTATTATTTTTATATTTAAGTAGCTAAAACAACTATGGTACCAATAGCTAAGGTTGAATTGACTGAATTTAGTGTTCACTTATGTACTAGGCATTTTAAAAACATTTAATATTTAATGATCTTTTGAACTATTATTTGCTATAGATAAGAAAATAAGAAACTTTGTGAAATTATTAACCTGGGATTTATATTATTCTAGTTTTGAGTTTTACACTCCCTCTTAAAGGAAAATATCAATCACATTTTGCTTAGATTTCATGAGTGAACCTCAATTTTATAACCAACAAGTAAATTATTCATATTTTATTATTTCTTCCTATAACATTTCCTCCAACTTCACATTATCAATTATTATTCAAGGAATTAAGCCCTTCATGTACACTATTTTATTTAGTTCTTAAAATAATCCTTTGAGGTAGGTATTATTACTATCTTTCCTTTACAGATGAGGAAGCTGTGGTTCAGAGAGATGAAGCAATTTGCCTAAGGTTATATACATGGAAACTGATGGAACTCGGCTCAAATCCAGGTCTCTCAAGTGCCCTAAATTCTTACACAATTAAATTGGACAAGAAGGACAGTCTCATAATTATGCATTCAGCAAAACACTTACATAGTCAATGGGTTTGAGGGATTTGACTGTAGATGTTGGGCAGCCACAGGAAGTAAGGTCAGCATATAGGCCTTCTTCTAATACACACTGGTTATAAAAAACGCCCTCTTGGTAATACAGGAGCCAGCTATAAAACAAGCAGTAAGACATTCCATTAAATTATATTCTGTCAGCACTGTGGACTCATCTTCATGTTGTGGAAACTGGGGTAGAGCCAGGACACAGAAGTCGTGGTGTTAATTAGCACAAGCTAATAAAACTTCTGCCACTATTATTTATGGATTGCTTACCTCATGCCAGACATGAGACTAGGAATTTTATATACATTTTTTGACTGTGTCCTTATTCTTTGAGTTAGAACATATCCTAATTTTTATAGGCAAAAAAAACTAAGTATTAGAAAAGGTTAGCTGATTTACCCAAATCCACCCATCTATTACTTGATAGAGTTAAAATTTGAAATGAGATATTTGCTTTGCACTAAAGAGCATTTTCATTTAGTACTTTCAGGTACAAATCCCTAGGATCAAATTATGGGGATGATTAAGTACTTGAATAAACTATATCTTCTTTTGGATAAAATAATTTTCTGTATCTTACTGATGAGCTTAAATGAATAAGCCTGGATGAATGCAAGGAAAAACTAACTGGTTCTTAATAATTCAGTTTTGGTATGTAAGTGCTAGCCCTGTATCTTAAGATCACCAACTGTACTAAATCTAGACCTTTAAATGTTCACAGAAATGTTCTGACATTAAAACTTATTGTCATGGCTTCTATGTATTAAACATTTCTATAAAATTTATCATCCTGTGTCACAGGTTTGCAATGTGCTAAGCATGATGGAGCTACATCCTTCATGAATATTCCTTTAGTCTTTAAAAATCTTTTGGGATAGGTGCTATCATTATCCCTCCTTTACAGATGAGGAAACTGAGGTTCAGAGAAATGACCCAATTTGCCCAACATTACAAAGCTGGGAAGTAGTAGAACTGGGGGCTTAAATCCAGGTCTGAAAAAGCTAGGTGCTCACACAATCTCCATGGTTCCTAATTTCTTTTATTAAGTTATAGTTGTGTATTTCCTATATTGATAGAGACATGTGGGCTAATCTGTCCTAGATTTTAGTACCAGGAGAAAACGATCTTCCTCTAAAACAAACTTCAAAGCTTCTTTTCATGAGAAAATGAAAATAAATATCTCTTCTAAGATATTCTTTTTTATCTTAATAGAGAAGAAACTCAAGCCAACTAATGATAACAAAATTATTTCACTTCCTTAGTGCTTATTTTTCTTTCTTACTAAAGAGTTGCAGATAATCTATATATATAATCATTAATTACTTTATGTGTTTTAATAATGTAAAACATTTTCTTTTTGGGAGTATAAAAACTATCAAATATAGGGAGGTTCAGAGCAGAAGAGATATAGGAAATATGAAAGGGAAAAGACTACTCAAATTAGGGTGAATTTTTTTTTTTTTTGGCAGTGGGGTAGAGGGTATTGGGGATTGAATTCAGGGACACTCCACCACTGAGCCACATCCCATCCCTATTTTTTTCTATTTACAGAGAGGGTCTCACTGAGTTGCTTAGTGCCTAGCTTTGGCTGAGGCTGGCTCTGAATGTCATGATCCTGCAATCTCAGCCTCCTGAGCCAGTGGGATTACAGTCATGTGCCACTGTGTCTGGTCCAGGGTGGATCTTTACCAAGGATTATGGTTTGGGTTGAACCTTAAATGATACATTTGGAATAGTACTGAGCAGAAGTCATAAAGTTATATACCTTCAAGAAGGCAGGCAAGTAATGCAAATAAGTAGTGTACCGAGTTGAAAAAACAGTAGGAAATAAGGATATGGTACACTGGGAAGCACACACATCCCCCCCGCCCCACTTGGTATCAGCAACAGCCAAAGGTGAAAGCTTTCTCAAAATCTTGGAATCTGCTGTTTTTTAAAAAAGGACAGTGGAAAACAGGCTCTTCTGAAATAATATATCCTATACCTAAGTACTGTTAGGAAGAAGCTTTTATTAATGTACAGACTGAACAAATAACGTTTGCTGGCTACATTCACCAGAAACCTACAATCTTTGATATAGAGCAGGGGTCAGCAAACTAGCCTGTGGACCAAACCTGCCCTGGCATCTGTTTTCATACAGTCCGTAAGATGAGAGTAGTATTTACATTTTTAAGTGGTTTGAAAATTTAAAGAAGACTATTTCATGACATGTAAATATTACATACAATTCAAATTTTTATGCATAAGCACCGTTTCATCAGAGCACAGCTGGGCCTACCCACTGGTGTCTTCTCCATGGTTGCACCTGTGTGACATTGTTACGGTGGCATTACTAAGTAAACTGGGGCAGAGACTACTCAGCCCACAAAGCTGAGAACAGTTACTATCTGGCCCTTTACCAAAAAAAAAAAAAAAAAAGAAAGAAAGAAAAATTGCCAACTGCTGGTACAGAGCGTAAGGAGGAATACAAATAGCCAACTAAATATTGGAAGAGGGGAAGACAAGAAAAAAATATAAGAACAGAATGGAGAATGAAGAGGGAAAATGAAACTAGTTGATGGCAAATCCTGGAAAAGGTATGATCTGACTGGTATTAGAGAGTGACTATGGGAATTAAAAATCAGAAAAATATTAAACTGGGTTTTGGGACAATAAATGGGTTAAAATTGGTTTGTGATAAATACTAGAGACAAGACAATAGAACAGGGGATGACTGGGAGACTCAGTCTCTACTGGATCAGCAAAGGAAGGGAGGAAGAATAGAGATATTTTAACAGGTTATTCAGCAGATATTTGACAGAGATGCTGAACTGTATACTTTGGTTAAAAATGATAAGCTTTATGGTATGTATATTTTACTATAATAAAAAAATTGAGAGACTATATTTCAGCCTTGAGTATGACATACAGTTTCATATATATGTGAGAAGATTTAATATGTTACTGCAGCGGGGAGAATATAGAATTCAAAAGGGGAAAAAAACTCTCATAGACTATTTATTTGGTGTGACTTTGGCAAACCCTAACTCTGAATGTGGTTTCTTCATCTGTGAAATGTGAATGATAAATACTTCAAACAACAATGTGAAAGAAAAAAAAAGAAAAAGAAGTATGTTGTCTTACATGGACAAAATCAGCTATTTTTGGTAGCATTCTATTACGCGATAATAAAAACATACAATATAAACATTCAAAATATTAAGAAAATAGTAACAAAATCATCAAGATGTTCCCACAGCTGGTTACTTGTAACATTCTTTCTTGGTTTCCATAATAACTCAAAATGTAAATTTGGCAAAATTGACATAAGCCAGTTAGTAGTTGACCAATCTTTAAAAAAGAAAAAAAAAATTAATCTCACTATGTATGCAAAAAAAGTCAGCTCTCTGTAAATTTAAAACAAATTTAGTCATTATGTAACACCAGAAAATACTCAACAAGAATACTTACCAACCTCGAAGAACTTTAAAAGAACATGGTGTAAATGAAGTCAAATCAGAACTTTCTTTTGTAAAATCTATACATTCACCTTGGAACCCTGGTTTACTGAATGCTTTGAGCTGCAAGAAAAAGCACAACAGAAAATAATTGTTTGACATCATCATAATAAAAACCTTAAATATACTTATAAAAAATCAGCAAAATATTGACTTGTTTTATCCATTACCAATAAATTTAGGTTAAGGATGATAGCATTCTCCTTAAAGTCTCCTTCTGACAAGTTTCCAGAAATACAATTTCAAAATCTATTTACCATTTTCATTCATCTTTTGCATCAAATAGTGGGCACAGATGCCTAGAAAATAATTCTACCTGTAAATCATAAGGGATTTACAATGTGATTTTGTTCATCATATCGAAAAATATTATCCTGTATGGTGTGACTAGAAGTGGAAAATAAGAAGCAATTTAGTGCTCAACACAAAAGAGGTTCAGATGGGTGTGTGGGAGATTTGGTATGCCTTTTCTTTCCCAAAGTCTTCCTGATCCACAGTTAATAAAAGTGAGAAGAAGAGAGCATGAGGGTGCCCTGAGAGCACAGGAGCAGATGGCAGAGAAGATAATAATGGTGGGATTAGTGGAAGATTTATGGTGAAGAAAGAAAGGCATCTGTGTCATGTATTTCAGCTTACAGGCTTCATTTTTTTCTGATAAGAACATCTTTAACATACAGCTTCAGCCATATACCACTACATTTCTACTTTAGTTCTTTTTGTCAAGAAACATCCATGAAATCCCAACTATAATTCCCCTTAGGATCAGAGAAATAATAATCTGAAACTCTAGTGGCCTTGGATCACAAATAAGAAAAAAATTAATGAGCACTATAAATACTTCATAATACACTAGAGACTTGAAACAACGTGGCCCGCGGTCCACCCTGCACTGACAGGCCAGCATTGTAGCAAAGCATGCATCATCACGGGTGATCCTCAGCAGCACTTCTCCTGCTGTCACCCGGGTCAATGCTTCTTTGAGCAGCTGGTGTTCACTGCCTTCATCTTCCCAAGGGTCCTTTGAGAGGAACTGTTTCTTGGCTGTCTTATTCTGCTCTGACCTTGCTCGGTCTCCTATCAAAGGTCAACCAAAACCAGGGAGGTAAGAGACCCAATTCCCCCCTAACCAACTGTGGCTTGCACAACATGACTTCCCATTGTGAAGCCACACTGTACTTGGAAATTAAAATGCCAAGTAGCTCCTCGGCCTCAAAGAGATGAGATCTAGCAAGTTTCTGTCAGGGTCCTTACGGTGCATACAAAGGATGGCAGTAAAAAGTAAGACAAAACAAGACCTGATTTTGAGGTAAAGGTTTATAAACCTGAGGCTAAAACACAAATCACTTTTAACCTCCAAAAGTGCATGTGTCTACAGCTTACAAATATTATCTAAATACACAGTAGAAATTAGAAAAAAACATAGGCAAGTAAGATTAGCTATGTTATTAACTGCTTGTATTTCTAGATTGTTGCATTAATTTTATACTGCTGAGTTCAAGATCTGTATTTCAGTATTTCACTATGAAACCATGAAATGTCAAAAGCTTTACTGTTAACAATGCATGTTAAGGCATGGTTCAGATGGCATATTTGGTAGTTATCTCTGGTTTTTAGTCTGTCTTCCTATCCAGAAGAATAAATAAAAATTCATACACATACACAAATAATATCATAAAGTCATAATTTATGACATCTTTCAGTGAACTTTAAAAATTAGTTTTAATGCTTAGATAAGTTTATTTTTACCCTCAAAATGAGATTATATGGCTTACTTAAAATTAGACCAACGCCATGGAAGTAACACATCATTTTGACCATCTTATAAATGCCTCAGAGTACAATAATTTTCATAATAATATTCTGAGGCTGGTCCAAACAGAATATAATTCTATTTACTAATTATTGAATTGTGGTTTCTACTCTTGGTGAAATTCAGTGACAGTGCCTCAGCAAAATCAAGTTCTGGGAAAACTAATATAATCACACAGCAAAACAGATTTCTGTAAAATCTTCATCATAACTAATAAAGAGAAGTATATCATATGTGATAATTGCACAGCAGAAAGATACCTGGATAAATTACTGTGGTGTTTTCCTTTCCAGTTGAATGGCAAATTCACATACAAAGTGACTCAGATAGGTTGCTTAAAACTCAGGCAAACAGATGAACAACAGATGAGTTGTTTTCAAATGACGCCTATCCCTCTGCACCATGTGAGCATGTCTCAGTCCCTGCCAGCTCCCCACTTTACTTAAGGGTATGGAAGCAAAAACAAGAACATCACAAAACCCAGCCTACCACTGACTGGCAGGGTGTCTTTTCACATATATTGTGGCATTTCTTCCTTAAAACTGTCCTCAGGCAGAAAATATCACCACTTTATGCTGAAGATTTTGCTTTTGCACTGTGTCATTATCACTTATGATATACATGAATAAAATGGGGTATTGTCTAAACTGAAAACTCAAGAACTTAATTTCTAACCAAATACAGATGCTGTGCTCAATTTATTTCACAATATCAGAGCCATCTTTTGACATAATTTTATTATTCCCAAATTAGATTAATTTCTAAGAGAAACTTTCTTCACTGTCTGAGTAGGACTTTCCCTAAGAATCTGGACCTCCCTCATACACATTAGGAGACTGTTAAACAAACAAAAAAAAAATCTTGTTTCCATTCTTCAATTATATCACACCTATCTTGTATTATGGTGTTATGTATTTCTCACGTCAGTTACATAGTCTATCATAATTTTATTTCCCTGAGCACTCACAGAAGACTTTCTTACATAGTTCTTCCTATTTTTGGACTTTGGAGTCTACAAAAACTGTCTAGATGCAGTGTAACAAAGAAGAGTTTTTCTCTGTACTGTTCTTAAGTCTTACTGATATTTGCCTAAAACTGCAACTGCCATTTTCCTATTCCCATTCATGACAACAGTAACCATAACTAATACAGATACTGGGATCACGTTAAAATTCAATGAAACTAAGTTATCTAATAGAATAAAATATCCAGTTGTTTTTCTCAGCTAGCATTATGTACAAAAATGAATCAAAGGCTTCAGTATTTTTTAAAAATCCAAAATTTTGATTTTATTTATAGATGAACTTTAAAAATACCCGAGGGACTCATGGTATTTGGTTCGGTCTATGAGGGCAATTGGTGAGAATTTCTAACAGAACAATGCAACTAAACTAAAATTGAAAAATTAATTCATTTTTATGAGATTAAATTTAGTGAGATTTCTGAAATTCAGGACTTGCTAACACAAACGACAATGACAATATAAAGATAATTCATATTATATTTAAGGTTTGTTTTTTGGGGGGGAAACAAAATAAAATGCCACCTGTTAATAATGAGAACTCTATATAATGATAGTGATGCTATGTATCTTGATTTGATAATTTAAATTTAGTGACTGATCTTCAGCCTTAGGTGAAAAACAATCTACTCAATAAAAGGCGGGGTTCTAATAGTATCCCAAATAAAATGTGTCATAATATATTAACAGCAATATTTTTATTATCCTAAGTCTCATGATATATGTTAATCATTAAACACACTTTCTAGTGACTTGAGGTTTCCCTTAAAATCACCAGCATAAAAAAAAAAAAAATCCTTATCTGAGTAAAACTCTGGAATGTAACAACTGCCTTCTTACTCCTCAGACAGGGAGAATAAGTAGCCCCCTGCACACAGCACATGCATGACCAATGTGCATATTAGAGCTACCTGTGAAGGAGACAAGACTTTCTGGTTAGTGAACAGAACCCCTGTGTCAGCCAAGACTTGTCTATTTGGGTTTAGGTAATTATAAATAAGAGAAACACCTGAAAATGTGGCCAAGAGAAAACAATAAGAGCTCTGATACCGAGTAAACAAAAGAAGCTTTGTACATGTGTCACCAAATATGCAGTTATCATCTGCCTTCAGAAACGGGTACTGTACAAGGCAATTATTGAGCTCTCTCCAGAAAACATGAAGTGCAGCTGACTTCACTGGGCATTTTCTGCTACTTCCTTTCTTTTCAAGTTTGACCAGAAATACTATAAAGAAAACCTCCCAGCAATGGGCCCCACACAAGGAAGTGCACACACACACACACACACACACACACACACACACACACACACACAAACCCGCCACCAAGGACGGAGAGAAACAGCTTAAAAGAATGAGATTTTTAAACTGTACTTTAAGCTCAGAAAATGTGCAGTTTGAAATGATCCCCGTGTAACTCCCTTATCTACTTGGTTATTTTGATTCATGTGAAAAAAATATTTTAATAATCCACAGTTGGGAGTTTTCAAAAATTCAAAATAAAGATCTGGCAGCACATGTCTTTAAATACAACTACTCAATTATATTCAAAAAGGAAATGTTCCCGATAGGCCTGAGCTAATCAGAAAATAACAAAAACTAAAAGGACCGTGAGTGAAACACTGTGAAACCATGCTCATCTGAAACATATAAATATTAGCAGGAATATGACAAAACATGTGCACCCAGAGGAAAAGCATCATGTAAGGTAGCCAGTACTATTTAAAACCACTCACTACACTTGGCTTTTGGATAGCAAGTTTTCTGAATAGGGGTATTTAAAATGAAACAAAGGAAGCAGTTGCTCATCCCTTCCTTTTATGTCTGTGCTGCTTGTCCCGTGATGTGTCCTCCCTTCATGCCCAACTTTGAAAATGTGGCTCTGTTAGTGGAGTCAGGAAACTAGAAAATGTCAATTTTGTTACTTCTGGCTGTGTGTGTGATTAATGGCACTTAAATTCTGAATCTTAGTTTTCTTAACGATAACTGGGATTAACATTGACCTCACAAATTATTAGAAGTATGAAATGGGCACGATTTCTCGCCCACAACAGATAATAAACATGAGGCTCCAGAGTATTACACAATCCACTTCAAACCACAAACACACCAGAAATGACCAAGTAGGGTTTCAGCTTCATGAGTGCTTTAGAGCAGCATTTGATGTAGGCATTAGAAATCCAGGGGCCTGATAAGCATGTCAAGACAAAGACTGCTCCTTGCTATTCGCTCCTCCAGAGACAGAATAATAGACTGTCCTGAAAAAGATCGTGATATGAAAAAAGAATAGGAAGATGGGAAATAAAGAATGACACATGTTCAAATGACCCTAACTGGATGAGAGCAGCAGCCCTGAAAAAAAAAAAGAAAAATGAAAGATAAGGTGACAAATCTAGGCCCATATGTCCACTAACAAGGACGGGCACTCCTCTGCTTACCAACAATAATATAAATTGTCCTGCCACACAGAAAAGTTATTTGAGACGAAGATTTGAGGAAAGGGCACAAATGTTTTTGGTAAACAATCTAACAAGTACAAGTCGAGAATATTTTTAAACATACCAAATGCGGAGGCTCATTTATCCCAAGTGGTTCCTGAAAAATACATTAAAACAAAAAGGAAAACTGTCATCAAAATAATCTTAGTCATCTTTCTTAATGTTTTGAAAATATCCTTTGAAAAGAAATTTAATGGTCTGATCAATTTACTAGATTCCTTGAACTGGCTATGACCCTCAAATAACCTTGGGAAATTCTGTGATAATAACTTTAGTATTTATGACTAAGTCATTTTAAGTAACATTGTGGCTGGGAGAAAAATGGGCTCCAGTGCCCACTAGAAAGAAAGAAAGTCTGAATTTCTGACCCCAATCTCATGGGCACTCTTATTATTCTACAGTGTTTGTTATTATACAAACTCACCATAATCACTTACAACTACATGATTTTGGACACCAGGAATATTTCCTCTTTGTGAAATGCCTTTCTGCCTGGAAAATTTCCTTCCATCCCTTAAGATACTACTCAATATACCTTTTTTTTTTCTTTTTTTTTTGCGGTGAAGTCTCCAACTCCCCTGTGCTGGGAAGCCCCTCCCAGGCTCCCTCCCCACTGCCTACACACTTCATTTTCTCACTAATCACACATAATTAGTTGCTTGTACATCTACACTTCCCTCTCCGCAGGGACCAGAGAGCCACCAGGGCAGTCTTATTCATCTTTATCTACAGTAATCAGCACAATGCCTGGCATATTAGAGGCACTAAATAAATGCTGCTGAATGAATGATCAAATTACAGAATCATCTCATTCCTGTACCTAACAGCTATATATGGAATCTACAGAAAATCATATAATGTTTTATTTTCTGCATACATACACACATACAGAAAATGATTCAACAATCTCACTTTTAAAAAAAATTATTCCACATATTCCACTGGCACTTGACATCTTCATACTCACCAGCTGGATAGGTCTGATTGACATGATTATATTATTTGATCCTCCCCAGTCAAAAAAACATTTGTATTTCCCTTTCTCTAAAATGTACTGCTCTCCACAGAAGCACTTCTGCTGGTAGGCAACCCATCTGGTGAGGAAAAAGGAAGAGGAGAACAGAGGTGATGTAGAATCAAGCAGCCAACAATTTCAAACACCAAAGACTCTCTCAAGGTTCTCAGGGTAGGAGACCACTTACACTCCGCTTTTGACATGAATGGATCTTGTTTCACTGCCAAAGCCAATTTCTTCCAAGTCAGAAATTTCCTGATTTGTAATGTCAATAAACTTCCCACTTTCTAGGTCAGATTCAAACAGTGTGATGGAAGATTCTATAAAATTCTATAAAGAGGAAGAGGAAAGTTTAAGAAAACATGTACATTTTGTTTTATGGACTGCTACAGCTAAGCACAATTTCACATACTCATGGAATAATATTCCCATAAATAACTTCAGGAAGAATTTTAAAAGGTTCAGGAAACAATTTTATAATTGCTACTCTGATACAGTTTAAAGGGAAAAAAAATAAGCCCGAATTTACTTCAAAATACGTATATATAAATGGAAATTAGTCAACAACTGGTAAATTGCTGGAATTTATAAGCTAAACTATGTGTTACTAATTGTAAAGCAAACTAAAGTCTCACTTTTGCCTAAAGAATGTAAATCATGTGAGAAAGAAGTGAATATAAAATATATTGTAGACAATGTTGTAGATGGTTTTATGAGTTTACATGTAACTGAAGAAACAGATGAAATTTACTTAACAAAAAATAGCTTATCAAAAAATCAAGATGAAGAAATTTTAAAAAAAAGTTATAGTAGGTTAATATAATCAAAGTAAATGTATTTTAGAGAAACTTTAAGTCCTAAACAGATAAATCAGTAAAAATTAGACAGCTCACAGAAGAGTAACACTAAAAACAGATATGCAAATGTCTTAATTTCACCAGTTAATTAAAGCAATTCAAATTAAAACATTTAGATACAAATTTTTAAAAATTAAAAGTCTAAAAATTTAACTTTATCAGAGAATATTTCTGGTGGAAAAACCAACTATTTTAAAATAAATAAATTATTAGAAAATAAATTATTAGAAAATAATTTAAAAATCAATTAAAAAGACTATTAAACTTTCTAAAATTCCTTTTTAATCAAGTTTTCCTAAAGGAAGAAGTGGTATGATACGTACATGCAAAGATGCATTCTTTAAAATAGTGAAAAGCTGTGAACTATGTAAATAGATAAAAGATGGTTTGATAAAGCTTATTACATCCTTCACTTGATGAAGCATTAAATATAATGAAGAACTGTAGACAAACTAAGTTAAATTATTCTATGATTACTAGTGACTAGGACCTTTATATATATTATTTTTAAAAGAGCCACTATATGAGTATACTACTACCATTCCCATTTCTCAGTTAAGGAAGTAGAGTGAATAATTTGCCTGAGGTCACACGGCTAGCAAGAGCTGAGATTGAATTTCAGTGGAAATAAGTCTGATATAAATGTGAAGATGGAAAGCAGGATAAAAATGCAAACTTGCAAACACTAGTAAGATTAGAAATAAACCCCCCTCAAAAAAAAAAAAAAAAAAAAAAACGAAAACTTTTTTTTTTTTTTTAAATCATGAGTTACCTTTGGGTACACAGACATTTAAAAATTTTACTCTACATTTTTTTCAATTCTATAAAATGTTATCATTTTTTAATTGGAAAAATATAGCATATAATTTTAAAAACCTCTCTCTTCCTATATTCATGGTCTGTTAATCAAGTCTAGACCTACAGAAGTATATCAACTTTTCTAAGTTCCAACAATGTCAATTTTCTCCCTTATAAGTAAAATTCATGAACAAAAGATTTCTAGGTATACATTCATTTTACATGAACAAGTAAAACAGGGTTCAAAAACAACAAGGCATCTATAATGAGTGGAGAAAATACATTTAAAAAATTCCTCTTGAATGTTCTACTTATCCAGCTTTAAAGGATTTTTAGACTGCTGACCTAGCTGGATCAAATATCACTTGAAACTTTAGGGTAAAAGATAAGGGCTTTTTACTTGAAATTTTTGTCATTAATAACATCTATCCCAAAACTATGTTCTCAGTTCCTTGAGAGTAAAACTTGGAGAGAACCTGCTACCTTCAATATTTCTACACAGTTCTTAAAAATATGGGAGCTTGGGGCTGGGGTTGTGGCTCAGTGGTACAGAGCTTACCTTGCATGTGTGAGGCACTGAGTTCGATCCTTAGCACCACATAAAAATAAATATTAAATAAAGTCATTTTGTCCATCTACAACTAAAAAAAATATTTAAAAAATATGGGAGCTGGGTAGATCTATGCTTCATTACTACCATGACTCCTGCTTTTATTTAACATTAAGACTATTTTCAGAGTACTTTTGCATTTATCTTTTTGAGCTCTCTTACTCCCTGGTTGTATATACATTCACAAACACATACATACACATGTATAGGCAATGCCATCTTCCTGGTGAGAAAAGGAATAACAACAGCCTGGAGGTGATCTCTCCTAAAATCTCCAGGACAAGCTTCCAACTGACTATGACATTTACAACCTAGATGCCATGCAAACCTAATTATACTGACAACATAAGCCTCCCTCACCTGAGGATCTTCTGCTTTTTGCAACCTAAAAGTATCTTAACAACCTCAAAGTGACTGTGGGAAATTGATGTAATAATGATGATGATGGTGATGGCTAAAGGCGGTTCAGTCTGGTCCTGGTAGAAAGCACTACCAACAGTCACCAACAAATCAGACCCAACCGTAAAAGAAAGGTTCTTGGCAGCTCTCAATTATTGGCATCTCTGTTCTCCCACTCAGATGACTCCAAAACCTCCTCATCGCTGCTTCTACTTCTCCTGCTCCTACAATTGGCTGTTCTCTACTTCCTGGAAGGGTTTTAGTAATGGAGAGCAGGAAATGTGTCATGGATCACTGCGTTACACTGGAGTAGAAAAGCACAAGGACACAGATACAGATATATGCCTGTGTGTTGTTTGTGCCTTAGCATTCAGAAATATCTGTGTTATACTAGGGTGTACTTGACTTTAGCCATGATTTGTACACATGTGGTGTGAGTTGTGGGGACTTACAGCAGTGAAGAGA